CTCCTTTCCCATCAGTGGAGATTTTAAAGTGCTCTACTGTATGTTTTCTCCAGAAAATGTGCTCACAGAGTCAGCATCACAGTCAAAACCACAGATACCTCTTTTTTTTTTTAGCCAGCCACAAAGTTCAAGGTGACCTTTCTCACAAAACTGCATTCCCCTCGTGTTGTGTAGGGACTGGACACGCTCATCCAGCCGAGGTCCCTTCAGCCCACAGTCATCCTCTGACAAGCCTCACAGAACAGCATGTTCTCTCCCCTGCTCAGTTATGCAAATCCCAGCAATCTGCACAAGCCATCCTTCGTGCCGGGGCTGGCACGCCTACAGCCTGGGCTCGCCAAGAACCCTCAAGTCCAGACCACGATCTCCAAGGCTGAGGGATGGGGGATGCCCCCGCTCCCCATCCCTGTGCCTCTGCTTTCACTGACCCATTTCTAAACCAAGCCCTACGTTAGATTCTGGCTGTTGCACGCAGGAAGGATGGACACACAGCCAAGAGCTATAGGTACACGTTATATGAACGGACGCTGAGAGGAGGGGATGCAGAGCACCAGAAACAGAACTGTAAGAAACAAAAAGCCTTTTACTCAGCTGCTGAGGCAGTACATGGGCGTGTAACTGCAAGGACAGGCTGCTTTATGGTTGTTCTGCGCAGGTTTATGTAAGGCTGCTCGCTGTTTGGCATCTGAGAAGGAAAGGCAACTCCCTTTCTCCCAGTCGTGCCGACAGAAGCAAGCCTGCATCCCTGAAGGTTTTGCACCGAGCGTGACCTGTGAGCACGGTGGCGTGCCGCAGTCGGTGTCCCGGTTTTCTGTGGCACAGCAACACCCAGAAGTGCCACCGGCCTTGTCGGGAGCTGGACACTGAAGCTTTGCCGCAGCTTCAGAAAGGTTCGAGGACCACAGTTCAGCTCCGCACTTAAGCACATGCCTCTTGCTGGCTAAGCACATGCTTACCTGCTTCACAGGACTGCCCTGGAATCCAGCTTCTGTGTTCCTGGGTCTGCCTCCTGCCACATTTACCAGATCAGCTCTTTAGAAGTTTATGTTGCATGACTGTTGTTATGTTCTCGTATCCACTCTTACTACTCTCCTCAAGGCCATGGCAATGGGAATGATGACAGAATACTACCACTTCATCTTCACCACCCTGGTAAAGTATCTAATCTCTGCAAACACCTTTTATACTCACTGCTGAGCTGGAATGGAAAGTGAGGAGGTAGTCTAAGTGGCAGGAGAGCAGGCTGGTGTCCTGTCCTGGACGTGCATTGCACAGTTGCAGGACACTAAAGTGGTGGAGTGGGAAAAGCAAGGGAAAGGGAGGTCTGGGTACCTAACAGAAGGGGAGAGCAGGGCTAGACTTACCTGCAGGTTAGAATCAGACCATAATGACAACATTTTGAGAGACGTCAGGCTTTTCTTTTGGTGCTTTTGGACTGGCTCACTCCCTTGGAACTGCTCCGGCTTTGCACAGATGTAGGTTCTGGGTTTATTTCCCCTCCCAGTCATTTTGATTTCAGTGCAGCTACCCACGCGCTGAAAGATGAGCATATGTGTGAATTTGCGAGGTTGCAGACCCACAGACAGGTTTTGATGGGACCAAGTTTCAGTCAGAACTGGGTGCGTGTTTCTGTGTGTTCATCTAGGTCTCCCTTAAGAGCCAGGAGCAGCCCTGCTGTGGTCAATCGTTCAGTACTGCAGGTTTATTTTGCATGAGAAGAACTCAGCTTGAAATTAACTCCTCTCTCATTAAACATAGGCCAGTTCTTCTCTGACTCCAGGAGGCATTTTGGTTTGGGTTTTTGGCATGCCACTTTTGTTTCCATTTAGGATGCTATTGTCTAGTGTACTGTTGAATTTTGTGTGATTTTGAAAATGCAATTTATCTTTTTTTTCCTTTAGGAAAGAAACAGGCTAAACTAACCCTTAAAACCTGCAAAATTTATTTTTCAAATGCAAAAGACATTTTAATTACCCCTGCTGCCATTATCTATTCCAGGCAGCTTTAAGCTTTTCCCAGATAACCTCCTATTAATCAGCCCCAGCTGAGCCTAGAGTACATTTCATGTGTAGGTACAGCCTGGAGGTGGGAAAAGAAGAATTATAATAAATTAATAGATAAGCAATCACAATTAATGCCACTTTCCTGAAATAACAGTTATATCATGGGAAAGATATTTTAATCTGTCATTCCTTAAGGCAATGTTTTCCTAGCTTGCAATGCATGTGCTTCAGCTTCCACACTACTAGACCCATGGGGTGCTAATGAATTAGTCTATTATGTTATACTGAATGTTTCTAAAAGGTCCCTAGTCAATACTGAGTACAGTGTATCAACACTTGGCATGAAATGCTTCAACATTTTGCTAGGCAGCAAGACTACAGTTCACTGACTTCAGCGTGAAGAGCCCCATCAGCCTTTCCTACCAGAGGGGGAGGAACTCTTCCGAGCCTTTGTCTAATGCACACACGGCTTTTACGTCCTGCGAAGACCCGAGCAGTGACAACCCCCTTAAACTCAACACTTGTATGAATTCCTCAGCAGCCTGTAAAAATGAGAAGTTTCCCCACTGCTTACTGTCACTTCTGGGGTGGTTCAGCCTGGAGAAGAGGAGGCTGAGGGGAGACCTTATCGCTCTGTGCAGCTACCTGAAAGGAGGCTGTAGCGAGATGGGGGTCGGTCTCTTCTGCCAAGTAACAAGTGATAGGACGAGAAGAAATGGCCTCAGGTTGCGCCAGCGGAGGTTTAGATTGGACATGAGGAAAAATTTCTTCATGGAAAGGGCTGTCAAGCACTGGAACAGGCTGCCCAGGGAAGTGGTGGAGTCACCATTGCTGGAGGTGTTTAAAAAACATGTAGATGTGGTGCCTAGGGACATAGTTTAGCGGTGGACTTGGCTGGATGTGGTTGAACTCGATCTTAAAGGTCTTTTCCAACCTGAACGATTCTATGATTCCGCTGCTTACAGCAGCTGCAGACAGGCAGAAGCAGGAATCTGCTCCCACGCTTCGAGTTGACAGAAACAAAAATTACACACCCAACCTGCCTTCTCCTGATTAGGCACTAAACCAAACCCGTCCAGTTTTCCACTGCCACTGACAACCAGGTACTCTTGTTAAACTCAACGTGCCTGAGGCTCACAACACAACACGAGTGCACTCGTGACTGAGTACATTGCAGTTTATTATTCAAACAGCGCTGTACATCATGCCTCCCATTATGGCCACGGCCGCTCCTCCCAGCAACAGCTGCCCGAGCAAATCCATGCCCAGACAGGGACCCTCGGAGATCCGATCCACGGCAGGCTCGCTATCCATGCCCCTCCTGGACACCTGCTTTTGCAGCTTCCTACTGTGGCTGCTAGATGTGGTGAGGATCAGACCTCCACATTGCCGCTTATGACTGATGAACCAAGGCTGGGGATTTTAACTGGGGAGGTGAGAGAGCGTGTGTAAGAAAGGGAGGAGCCACACAGAAACACTGAGAATAAAACTTTCTTAAAGATGGAGGGGAGAATTACTCTGCAGTACAGAAAACAATGAGTAGATGAGGGAATGTAGATGAGGTGGAAAACAGAACCAGATCTTTCAATTTGTGGCTGTGCAGGAGCAGAAAATCCAGAAGAAACTGATATGGCGCCCCCCCCACGTCTCCATGTTCTGACACTCAGCTTGTATTCTTAATTATCCTCTAATTCCAGGAAATGATAAATCAGGTTGCAGCTGAGATTAAAATGGAACTAAAAAGGGACCTGATGGGAGGTTGGCTTCTATAGGAAACTGTGAAATGAAGGGTCAGTGGAGAGCGGCAGGACAGGGAGGGCACCCAAAATACTCGCAGGATCTGAAAGGTGGTCTGACAGCTGTGTGATGGACACCATGAGGTCTGGAGCTTGGTGGATCAGATTTGTCACATACGCTCACATTCTGAGGGGGAAATGATCTTCTTTGCAACCAAAAATTACTTCCCCACAGCAATTTCCAGAATACAAACTGAAATGTCTGACAAAACATTATGAATCCTGAAAAAATAAATCTGTTCCAGTGGGTCAGGCACAGGACCGCTGCACACCCTCACATCCAGATGACGTAAGCATCTGTCTGAGGGTAAACAACTGTATTTGCCCTTAGTTACCGTAAGTCATTTAAAAGTCAACATTATGGCCTGCTTTTCACAATGCCCTTTAACAAAACATGGAGGTTTGTACTTGCAATTTTTCAGGGGAAAAAAACAAACCCAAACAACAAAGACCCTGAACTCTGTTGTGTGTGTGTGATTAATGACTCAGTCTCTGGCTGCACCTGCAGATTAAAACACGGCATCCATCAGCAGAACGCCTTGGGGCTGCAGAGTCAGAGGCCAGTGCTTAAGGAAAAGATCAAACCCCCAAAACCTATTAAAGCAAAACAGCTGTAAGAATTCCTTGCTCCCCCACTGAGAATGAAGTCTCGGTTGTTGGCAAGTGCTGATTTTGTTACGCTTTGCGTAGGGCAGTATGTTTTAGGACCAGTGCTTTTCCAGCTCCCCCATGGGCAGAGCAGAGCTCGCTGCTGACAGACGCCCTGTCTGGGTGAACCCACAGCCTGGCTGTGTCCTACCACCATAGCCACATTATACAAAACAGCAACAGCCACATAATCCCATGCTACGTTTAAACTCTTTTTTATAATCCCCTGTGAGAGCAACAAACATCATTCCCGTATTTGCCCCCCACCTTCCACCACAGAAGGCAGTGGTGTTGCCTTTCCGCCTCCCCACATTTCTACTACTATTGAACACTTGCAGAAATTGTTCAGGATAAATTCTGATTAAATATGTCCCATCCAACAAATGATTCCCATTAACAAAGCCCCCTTCTGACCGCTATTCTCTGTCACATTCATTCAGGACCCCCCTCGGGTCCGCTGCCCTGGGTTTTTGCTGAGCAGATCAGCTGCAGTATGCTCCTGCCCTGCTGTCTAACCCCAAACTACTCGGACTAGTTACCAAGCATTGAAGTTAATCCCTGCACTGAAGTTAATATTCAGACGTGCGGCGGAGCCAAGAGATGCATTAAAGAAGTGCACTCACAGAGGCCTCCAAATGCCCCTCTCTTGCTGCCTGCCAAGTGATGCTGGTGGGCTGGCTGCCAGCAGAGCTGAGGACTGCCTGGCTGTGGGTTTTTTAAATCGTATAAAGGGCACTCTCATTCACTTGCAGACTGTGTAGGCTGGTCGTAATGTCAAGAAATGTGTCTTAGTTCCTCTTGGATAGCCGTCTGCAAATTGGCATTCTTCATTCAGCGTTACTGTGTCATCTGCAGCACCCTGTGGGCTTCAGCTCTCACAGCAAATCTTCCATGGAAAGGCCCCAGGGAGCTTTGGATACAGGAACTCTGCCTTGTCCCCTCCCCCTTGGCCGCAAGCCTCTTTTTTCACGGTTACAGACAGCGATTCTGGTTTTCTCCCCACAATTCCCTTGCCTCTTTTATGCAGAGAGTGAGTTATTTGGCAGGAGTTTCCCTCTGCTGTGTGTGGGTGAACCTGCACATATGACACCCAAATTCCACTAACACCTACGAGTCTCTGCAAGCAGTGACGGATGGCAACAGACAGTACAATCCACCAAATTCATGAGGGCACCATCCTACCTCCCACCTTCTGTGGGCTCTGCCTTCTCACCTCACACACAGACATGAACCGATGCAGAAAAGACAAACAAAACAAAGCTAAACAAAATGTTTAAACTGGTTTCTCTCTTTTAAGGATCTTTATGCATTAGACCTAGAACCATACCGCTACTCTGGAGTGAACCTGACCGGCTTCCGGATCCTCAACGTGGAGAACCCACACGTGTCCTCCATCATCGAGAAGTGGTCCATGGAGCGGCTGCAGTCAGCGCCCAAGGCAGAGCTGGGACTGCTCGATGGCGTGATGATGGTATGAGAAGTTTAAACAAAGCATGGGCGAAGCCTGGGAAGCAAACCAGAGTGGCAGGAAGGCAGGAGCATTCGTTGAGGCCTAAATGTTATTTTTATTGGTTCTTGTACTAGTAACAACTCATCCCAGGTATCTTCCCCAAGGTAGTTACTTGCATTCTTTAACAGCTGTCCCTCAAATGCAGTGAGTTCGGGTGGTGAATCTCTTGCAGCCCACTGCTGTGTCAACACTCTCCTTTTACAGGCCCAGCTGCCAACAGATTTGCCAGTTTTGAGAGACTGTGCTCCTCATCTCCCCTCCCGTCTTGCCAGTAAAAACCTGCCCCTGGGACCAGCAAAATTCAAAGCTTTCAGTTCCACAAAAGGTTGAGCACGGTGGGGAAGTGCCCTGGCTGTTTCATGCTGGGAACAAGCAGAGAGGGAGCTGCAATCAGCTGGGTATTGCACCCCTTGTTCAGGCGCAGCAGGATTTCTCTGTGCTCGCTTGATGGGCAGACGCAACGAGTGCTTGCTGACCTGGAAAGGGATGGGCTGTGCGTACCCCAAACCCCGGAGCCCCCAGGTAAGGGCATCCTCTCTCTTCAGCTGCTCCCCACAAGCCCTGTTTCAGCTCAGGACAGGACGATTGCCCTGCAAGTCCCCCTGCCCAGCCCTGGGAGCAGCACTGGGGAGCAGAAGTGCTCCCGTCCCACCAGACGAGCCAGGTAGCCAGGGCCTCTCCCACAGGGGCTTGAAGGGCTCCAGCTGCCATCATCTCCCCACATAGTCCCCGAGAGCAGCCGAGCACCCAGCTCCCAGGGGCTGGGAGCACAGTACATGGCTGGACTGGGCCAGGCAATTCACCGAGATTGATGGCAGGGAGAAAGAGCCAAAGCTATGCCCAGAGATGGGCTTTGCTGCAGCTTTGATGACTCCTTTTAGGGTCTGATGGCAGCTATGCTCCGCTGAGTTACTGCTCAGAAGGTACAGCACCTGCTTGCCCATCTGTCTTCCCTGCGAGGCTGTCTCTGACCCCCGTAATTGCTGACTGGCTCCCTCCTTCCCTCTCCCTTTAGATCTGCCAGAACCAACCCCACAAGTGGCAAAGCCTCCCAGACTTTCACCTTGAAATGGCTCCTTTTATCACAGAATCACAGTATCCCTCCTGTTCTTTTTTTACCTAGAGGAGAGCTCCACCATTCCCCTTTAGCCTCCTACTCTTCTGCAGCGTTGCCCACAACTGCAGCATTGCATTGCCTGCAATGCTGGGTTCCCCCCGCTGCCGCTGCTCCTCTCCCATTCCCTGTCTGTTTGCTTCTTCAGAAGGGATCTTGCCTTTTATTTGTGTTTGTCTGGTGTCTGTCCCAGTGGGGCCCTGATCTCAGCTGGGCATTACAGTATGTAATTCACCATGAAATTGCTTGGACATATTCTTGTACCCGCTCTCCCCTAGCCCCAAACTTACAAAACCTGTCCCTGCTGCTATAAATACAAGCCCAGGGGATGCAGGTCAGGTGCCTGCTCTTCATGCTTGGGTGCTGCGGGAAGGGAAGGTCAAGGGGATGTTGCCAGCATTGGAGGATTTTCTCCACGGCCACGTCCTGTTAAGACATTTGCCCAGTTACTTGCTGTATTATTTTCTTTTATTGTGTTTTCTTATGCTACTGCTACATTCACATCTGTTCTGTAGCTTTCTGAAGCCAGCAAATAATGTATTTTCACTATGAGGACTTACCATGTCGGAGTGAAATATAAATCCAATTCTCTTAATCAGTGTTTGGAGGTGATATGGGGTGTCTCAAATTTAATCTAAAACCATCACATTATATGGAAGGGAAAAAACGTCCTCCCTGGTTCAAATCACTGAAATGCGGGAAGATGTAACAAATCTGGTTTGGGTCATTTTGGAAAATTCCACACCCACGGACACGCCATTTAACTTCTCTGGTTTTTATTTCCCCACGTATACAATATATGTATGGATAATATGTTCCCACAGGTTTTTTTACACTTGACAAAACAGACTAAATATGAAAATTCTGTTACTATCTTCTACACTTAGAAACAGCTACCTTCCTTGTTTGACAATATAGCAGTAAATGCGCTAGAAAGAACCAAAGAGATGCACACAGACGAATGGCATTTGCACAAAAATCTCTGGCTTTAAAACAGAACTACGATCTTGTAGTCTGAAGAGTCACGTAACAGAAAAACACGCTCGTGAGGCTTTGTCATGTGCAGAGCTACGTGTTCTGAGGACGTGCTTTGCATGGAGGTCAGCTCGGAGGTTTATACAAGCCTTGTGTTAAACCATACGTGTTTAGAGCAGTCTCTTGAGATCCCACTGAACCTCTTGAGAGCCCAGCCCTGCCCTCGGGGCGCTGTTTTCAGAGTTAGACACCCAAGAGGTGGGATGGTTGGCAGCAGACCAGAACAGAGAAATCCTCAGGTTCGCTGGGTGTTGAGCACGGGGTAACTCAGAGGGGGTTCCTGCAGCTTCTGCAGCACGTTACAGATCCCCCGCTGCTTTGCTGTCCGGATGCCTCCTTGCTCTGGAACCGCTATCAACACAAATGCTGTTCCCCTTTACTTTAGACAGACGCTGCCCTGTTGTACGACGCGGTGCATGTGGTCTCCGTCTGCTACCAGCGCGCCCCTCAGATGACCGTGAACTCCCTGCAGTGCCATCGGCACAAAGCCTGGAGGTTCGGTGGCCGCTTCATGAATTTTATAAAAGAGGTAAAAGCATGATTTGCAACCATAATTGCTTCCCACTAATGCAAAACTTCCCCAGCAGGAGCAGCGCAGCTGCTTAGCATGCAGGTACGGAGGCACATGGCAGGGAGGCTTAGTAGGTATAGGGTTATAAAAAATCCCCCTGCCTGGGCAGACACCACTGGATGGAAGCACAAATATACACCAGGCTGCTGAATGCACCCAGAAAGGAAAAATCTTGTCTTTGCCTTCAAAATAACATCTGTGCAGCCACGCCAAAACATCCAAACCAAGCTGAAATCTCCCATGCTGTCACTGGGACTTGCCCTGGCCTCTTCTTGCATCACGAGCAGCTGGACCGCTCTCTCTCTGAGGCCCTTCTTAGCAGAGCAATGGCCATTTGCCTTTTACAGGAACATTTGCTTGGGGTCCACAAAGGGCATTCAGTGCCGCTAACTCCCGTTGGCAAAGCTGGCAGCGCTGCGCGTCTCTGCCTGTGTGCTGATGAACGGCTGGGGCAGAGTGGTGGATTCAGCAAGTAGAGAGCCCGGGGAGTGAGGAGGCAGCTTCCTTCCCTCCCTGTTTTCAGTCATTATGATTTCTCTCTGTTCAGCCCACGTAATTGTTTGTTTGTATCTGGCTTAAGCACGCAAGCAGACTCAAAACATGGGTGCTTGTGAGCAGTGAGCTCACTGAGGGAGTGTAGCACAGGGAAGCTGCAGGAGAGGTGGCCAGCCCTCCCCACAGAGCCCCCGAGCACAGGCTCATGCACTCACACCCCGGGTTTTGCTCTGTCTGCAAAAAGGAGCCCTCACATAAAAAAAAAAATGAAGGCAGAGCTGCAGGGCGATACTGCAAACCCTACCAGATATGCCTTTGCAATAAAACCCCCTTATTTACCCTAAGGCCTTTTTAAACTTCTATGCCTGTGGCTCTTTACACGGGAAGTTATGAAACTGGCTGCAGTACAGGAGATGACGGGGCCACATGTGAAAGGCTGAGTATAAAATCCCCCAAAGTTTTAAACAGGAAAGAGTAGAAGTACATTGTTAATCGTTACCGTGACTTGTGCTGCAGTATTACCTCCACAGGCTGGCGGATCCTGAACACAGGCACACCCAGCACCCCAGGTGCTGCCCGAGCTGCCCGAAGCGCACAGGCGCAGGGGAGGAGAAGGGAGGGATGATTCCCATTGCAGAGGGAGAATGAACTTTTTTCTTAATAGGCACTGAAGATGGTCTCTTTCCTCTCTCTCCCCCCTCTCTCTCTCCTTTTTTCGTGTTTTGTTCCCTTCTGCAGAAAGCCGCTCCAGCTGGCTGCCAAAAGAGAGTGTAAATAATTTGTTTGGTTGGCTCCTTTTGCAAATTACCCTGAGCCTCACACTCCAGTGCCTGCCTGTTGTTTCCCTTTCTGGCACCATGTCAGCTCGTTGCAGGGATAAGCTTCCTCCCCATTGCAACCAGAACAGAGTAATTGCTCTCTCTAAACTCCTGTACAGACTAAGCAGCGCACAGAGGGATGCCTCGCCACAGACGCCCGCTCCCTCAGCCCTGGGCTCCCCGCAGATACCAGCACCCCTCGCTCCCTGTGTGTGCACAGGCCATGGCACCCACTGCACAGGATCGCTGCAGAGCTGCCACTCCTGGGGTGAAACCCTGCTTGCTCCCACCTGCCGAGGGGCAAAGCCAGCCTCGGCAAGGCCACCCTCACCCATGTGCCATCGGGGCTCCCTGGGAAGCCAAGGGACAGGGCCAAGCACGGGGGCAGGAGGAGAGGGGAGACGCTCCCCTGCAGCCACCACCTGCCCAGAGCCTGGGACAGCAGGTGCTTGGGAGACAGAGCAGAGATGGGGCCGACACCAGCGGGATCAGAGCCCATCGGGGGCCACGGCGATGCCGTGCAGCCCCAGCCTGGCCCCAGGAGCCATGCGGCCATCCGCAGGAGGAGCAGGGCTCAGCACACAGCTGTGTTTGCTCCTGTTGGGTACGTTAAACACTCCCTCCACGTTTTCCCTGGCTCCCGGGGGGCTCCGCAGGCTGCACGTCCCACAGGCAAACTGCCCACACGCCAGAATAAGCAAACGGAGCACAGCCTTCCTCAAAACTCAGGGGTGGTGAGGCTGGGAGGAGGCTGTCATTGCTCCTCAGGAATTAATGAGGAAGAGCCAGAGGAGCGTATTTCCTGGGAAATACACCAGTCATTCCCCCCTGAGCATACATTTATGCCACCTTCATCACACTGGGATATTTCAAGCTCCCCCATCCATAAAGGAAACACGTTCATCAGTGAGGAGCATGCATGGTCTGAACTGCTCAGGGGAAAGAGCCCAAGTCCCAGCTCTCCACTGCTGAAATGCAACTGCAAAGCAGTAAACCATGTCAGCAGCCTGGCACTCTTAGGAGACCATTCTCCCTGGGACGGATGCTTATAGCACATCCTAGCACTGTCCCCAGGCAGAGCAGGCATCGTATACCATGCTGTCCCTTAGCACCTGCTCTGCGAACACAGCTAGCGCCTGATATTCGGGGCTCTCTTGCCTCCTCAATCAGAGAGTGCTGCGAAGTGTACAGTGGAAAAGAAATAGAATCATAGACTAATTTTGGTTGAACTGAATCTAGGCATCTTTACCCCAAGTTCCTGCTCAGAGCAGGACTAGGTCCCAAGTCAGACCAGGTTGTGCAGGACCTCATCCAGTCAAGCACTGAAAATCTCCAGGAACGGGGCTTCCCCAGCCCCAACAGGCACCTGCACCATGCTTATACTGCCAAAAACTGAACTGGGGGTACCAACGCAGCATGCACCCACCAGATTCCCATGCCTGTTTCAAAACAACAGAGCCTGCTAGCACCGACAAGCTCTCCGCCTCTTCTGTTCCACTTTCCATCTGAAAGGAGAGAGGGAACATTCAGGACATTTTCACTTTCACACACCTTGGAAGCATCAGCAGGTTTGTGCAAAAAAAAGGATTATTTATGAACTTGACTGGAGTTGTCCCAAACCCAGGCTCCCTGCAGCCTGGCATTTATCAGTACTACAAGGATAAATGCAGCACACAAGGATGCCATGATAAATGCAAGCAGTTTTCTACTGAGTCATCATGTCCTGCAACAGCTGGTGAACGCAAAAGGTGCAAACAAAATTGTAGCAAGGACTGCAAGAGAGTTAAGAAAACCTCCAGCTCCAACTGCAGTCTGAACAGTGACGGAGGTGTTTATTAATTAATCATGCTCTTTAGGGAGAAAGAACCAGTATAAGGACTAATTAAAAGAACATACAGTGGAGGGCAAAAGATTATTTATGATACCAAGTAACAGCCCTGCTCCCTTTCTTCCCTTCCACAGGCCCAATGGGAAGGACTAACGGGACGAATCGTCTTTAATAAAACTAGTGGTTTACGGACAGATTTTGATTTGGATATCATCAGCCTCAAAGAAGATGGTCTCGAAAAGGTAGGCACGGTTTGTCTTCTCTGCATATGGCTTAATCTAACTCTGATGCTCAGGCAACAGAGAAAATAGTTGGTGGTTGTATTGTTTCCAGGTTTTCTGTTCTTTATATAAAAGGATATTTACTTTGTGGGATTTCTCTGATCCTTTTCCATGCTTCAACCATGACTCACTAGCCCCAAAGCGAGGTGAGGTGCGTGGGATTACAGTTACTAACTGCAGAAGTGCTTGTGGCACTTTCCCGAGATAGGGGAAGCAGAAGAAACTTTCCAAGCAGCCATTAACCTCTCCTTTCCCAGGCCAAAGGTGGAAGGAACAAGCCTGTCCCAAGCCCCATCTTGCTGGGCTTGCTTAAAAACACTGATTTTTCCCTGAGGAGGCAACAGTTCTTGAAAGCATCATCTCGGTGTGATTTCCCACAATGAAAATCACCTGAGGCTTGGAAATGGCACCAGCTTATTACAGCTCCAGCCTAGGGTTTGCAGGAGGATGCAGTGTGTATTTTGGTTTATTTCTCCTCTAAGGGACAATAAGAAACAAAGCGAAGCGCGTTGTTGCCTGGATGGCTGGAGGGGTCTCGTTCGGTGGCTGTATTTGCCTGGCCCAGAGGCACAAAGGCTGCAACCTCAGATCCTCCTAATTAGAGCAAATCTCCTCTGGGCACAGAAATTCGATGCTGATGTGCAAATCTGATTCTCAGGTGTTCATGGGGATTTCATTTTCTTTTCTTCAATTACTTTTTTTAAAAAAAAAAGTCAATATGCATAGCATTAAAGCCCCTAGAACACGGGTTTCAAGGTGAGATCAGTTCCTTTAAGACAAAAGAGAGCAGCGAGTGGCCTGAAGTGAAGAAAGCACTGCGCAGCGGAGACCTGGTGCCGGCTGCGAGCAGTGCCCAGGGGCTGTGCTTTAATCAGGCTCCAAATAACGGCACCCGGAGCCTGACCCCTTTTGTGAGTAATTCTGAGTCCCCATTCTGCTAAAGGTGTCTTGCAGATTTACAGGAGAAAGTTGGCAACCGGGCAGCAAATCCCTTTCTAGAGCAGAGTCTGCTTTTCGACACGCACAAGGTGCCTCCTGGCAGGGAGGGACGAGTGCTGAGTCCTGTAACCTTTGGGCACGGAGACAGGTTATGCTACCGCGGGAAATGCCAGCCGGGAGCAGAGAGAGGGAGTTTTCAATTAACCATGCAGCAAGCGGCCCAACATGCACAGATGACTTTTCCAGTGAAGACTGGGGAATTAATCACACAGTGCAGGTAGGCAGCGCCCGGGGGCTGAGGCAGCAGTTTGATCAACCCTCCTGTTTGGAGGGGATGGATCCTGCGCAGTGAAGCTCCCTGGGACCAAACAGCTTGACTTCCCCACCCCTCTTTTTTACAGTTTGTTTTTCCCTCGCTTTGAAATAAATTGTTGCCATGCTTTCACACCACAGCAGTAGCTCTTTGCTTCGTGTGAAAAATCTCAAGGTCACCCCAGTGCTCTCCTAGTGGGTATTCTTTGGTGTCAAATACAGAATAAAGAAAACATTTCAAATAAACCCAATGACCTTCTGTCTCAGCTGCAATCAGCCGAGCCTGTGCAGGAAGGAGGCAGGAGAGGAGCAGGGGAAGACGCCACCTTCTCACAAGAACTGAGCAGGAGACGATGTTTGTAGCTTGACTTCTCGTTTTACGAAATATTTTGTTTATAGAGTCTAAACCAAAAAAAAAACAAAAAACCAACACATCTTTTTGGAGTACAGTGGCACTGACGGGCTGCCGGAGAGCTGTGTTGGTAGAATAACAGAAAAATGCACAAGTATTTGGGTACCACGTGAATCTAAATGTTTAAGTACAACCGCAGTATCTATCTGTCAAACTAATACTCCTCAGGTGTACTGGAGAATAGCTGGCACCAGCTGTATTTATAGCTACCGTGTGTCACATAAAGCCCATAGGAAGCCGCCAAACCTTGATGCATGCTCTGTACAGCCATGCAACTTTTGTCTCCCAACAATTCAGATTTCACAGTTCCCACTATTATTTTTTTGAAGCTTCTTGTCAGCTCTAGAGGGGTTTTATAGCATCGATGTCAAATCTCTGTTGAAGCTAGGTTTCTGTCAATAGTTAATCTGAAATAACAAAACACCAAACTACAAACAAATCCCATATGGATTGTGCATTATGTATAACAGCTTATGTCTGTTGAGCTTCAGGATTGAACTCCTGATCCTTACACCTCCTGGATGTGCCAGGGATTACAGGAGTATTAACTAAGCCTAATTGCATGTAGTTTGGCTATCTGACTTGCACAGTTCTCTTAATACACATTTTTCCTTTTTCTTTGCTTTTTTAATATTTTAAACTGATTAATTCAGTCTTAAGTGCCACGTATTTAATTTTCTTAAAGAAAACTTAGCAAGGCACAGTTAACTGAGTCTGCAGTGCTGCCAGCAGGGGCCCCTTAGACTTGCTGCTCTTGTCCCATGCACAATAATAATCTTTTGACATTGCAGCTGTTGTGCGATCAAAGGGAGATATGGGGGATTGCTCAGGTTTTTCCTGAAATATTTAGAGCCTTTCACAAAGTTCATGGAAACTCTTCTAGAATTTATGACAATTTTTTTGCCAGGCAGTGTTGCTCATTACAAAGTCTCTTTTTGGGGATGCAGTAAAACCAAGTTCTCCCCTTGGACTGCTGAAGAGGTTGAAAAATCTTAAAAATAGCATTAAATAAAATATCGGAAGTTCCTGGCTCCCCGGAGGGTTTGAGCTCTCTGCCTTTGGTTTCTCTCTCAGTTCCATCTCACAGTTTGACCCTACAGATGGATCCTTCTGTTCCCACTTCCATGCAGGGTTCTGGTTTTTTCTCACTGTCAGGCTGGCTATATGGCCACCCTGCTCCGTTTGCTGGCAGCAATCCCACATTCCTCCAGCTTTCCTGACATTTTATCTCACCGTCACAGTCCTTTAGCCAGTCCTGCCTTCAAAGTTTCTTCTAAAGCCTCCCCTGCACTGCAGAGATCAGGTTAACAGGCTTAGAGTTGCCCTGATGACTTCTCTTAAATAGAGACATGTTTTGCTATTTCTGGATCAATAGACTTCTCCAAAGTCTAGTAATTTATTAAAATTGACAGCTTAAGAAAAACAGAGCACCTCAAACTGACGAGGAACATAGCTGCGCGTGCCCGTGCCTATGCCCGAGCAAGTCAGCTGGCATTCCCTCCTCCAGGTTTGCTGAGCAGAACCGAGATCTCCCGTTGCAGTGGACTTCTGTGCAGGAGTGACCAGAGCCCTTGCTAGGGCTGTTAGAAACGTCCGTCTAGCTTGGCAGAGCACAGAGGACAGGAACGGTCCTTACCAGGGATTTGCAGAGCTTGTCAAGTCATTTTTAATTCTGCCCACAAAAGCTAATTGGTGTGGAAATAAAAAAGAAATAAAACGGCCTCATATTTGTGGGGTTTTATTCCTTTGTTCTGCTTTATCCTGGGCCAGAGTCGACTCTTCAGCGCAGTTTCATTGTTTGCTCTGCACAGTGCCTTTGCAAAATGTTTATTCAGCCCCTAAATTCCAGTCATGATGGTTTTCTTTTATGCATCTGCATCAGAGGGCAGCGTGGGGGTCATTTATTGTACATATGCAACTAGAGCGACTGGCAACTGAAGGGTTAATGCAAATCTTCTATTTAGGTGATACAAGGCGATAATTTCAGCTTTGCTTCTGTTTACTGCAGATGAAAGAAGCAAGCTACATTTTCCTGGCCAGTAGGATGCTGAGAGCAAGTGAGCAACGTAAGCTGGGTGTTCATGTGTTCATTTGCTTGCTTCGTTTCAGGTTGGAGCGTGGAGCCCTTCTGACGGTTTGAACATCACAGAAATTTCCAAAGGACGAGGGCCTAATGTCACAGACTCACTGAGCAACAGATCTCTAATTGTCACCACTGTCCTGGTAGGAGATTGCACGTCTGTCTTTCCTCCACCCACAAATCTCAGGGATATCTGATATCTCTGAAAATTCAGAGCATCCCAGAACAGATCCACTAGTCCCTCTGGAAAGCTGGGCAAGGGCACAGAGAGCCCTCGCACGTGGGCTGGGCTCAGCAGGGCACTGCGATGCCCATGCACCTGCACCGAGGTGACCTGCGGTATCCTCTGATGCCACCGCTCCCGAGCAGGCTGCTGGCCGACACGTGGCGGATGGTGAGGCTGGCACGGGCCAGCTGGAACCACGGGTGTTCCCTGTGCCCAGGAGGCTGCTGCTCGTCCCCTTCAGCTGCCTGGCCAGGTCCCCGTCCTCCCTCACTCCCTGCATGCTGGAGGGCGTGGGAGGTTTGCAGGTGCTGAGCTCCAGGAAAGCTCCCAGTCACCCATTTCCCACCAGTGCCTGGGCAGGCAGCAGCTCAGCGGCACTGCCTACCTCAGACAGGAGTGTTCTCGTTACAGAAGAAAATAGTAAGAACAACCAGAGACCCTGGCTTAGCTGTGACAACCGTGTTTCTTTCCCCCTCCTAAGTACATATTTGATAAACTAGCTAAGAGTAACGCCGTTATCCAGCAAACCACAGTTGCTTAACAGGTCTCCTCCGCTTCCAACTGTCGCGCTACATTTTGTTCACATTCACTATTGGATTTGACAGCAGGCATCAGATCAGAATGAATTTTTATTTACTATCTAATGAATTATGACTAGAGACATTGGTTTCTATATGGCTGTATTACACAGCAAGGCCCATGGCACGTCACCAGGAAGCAAGAAAAAATATCAGCCCTCGGACAGCCTACCCACAACTGGGCCCGAATTATGGTTTTGCCTATGGAAATTTCCTGTTCCTTTTGTGTTCCGTATTTTCAGGGAACTTATGACTTTATCACTAAAGTCCTTCTCTGCAAGAGTCAGGCACAGGCTTAGCTCATTGACTACGCTCAGTAACACACCGCTTGCATGTCCTGACATGCAGGGGAGACAGGAAAACTTCCTTCCCTTCCCAGTCCAAAAGTTTTCTTCCGCACCAGCCCCATGAGGCCGTGACAGGTCGTGCGTACGCAGGAGTCTGCATGGGGCGGTGTTCCTGTGCCATATGCATTAGCCAAATCGGCGGCAGCAGTGGTTCCCCACTGGCTACAGCTCCTGAAAGGAATCGTCACATCAGGAGTTACTGCAGAAGCAGTAGAGAAATGACAGAGCAAAAGGCACTTCAACAATTCAACATGCATCAGAGTAAGACTGCTCCTGTTGAGACCCTTGCAGCACTGTGTGTGCACTCAGGCACGATACACACCCAGTTTGGGCTTTGTTTTTCTCTTTTGCAGTTAAGCATTCTTGGTGTGTTCAGAAAGTCAAAGTTTTGGTAGTGTTTTTCTAACAGGCCAAATGGAGAGGCCATGCCAGGTTTAGTTCATTTTAGCAAGGTAACCTAAAGTGCTGCCAGTACCTGTACATGGGAGATGCAAATTTTTAGGGCAACATGAATAACACATCACATCAAGTCTCCCAGGTGGAGGCTCAGGATCAGCTCTAAAGGAATTGTTCAACCCGTACTGCAGCTGGGTAAAACTCACCAGAACTTAATACAATGACTCCTCTTCCCCTCATTCTCTTTAATTAGAACTGTGTGCAGCACACTGGGGAAAGTTCCTGGGGTGGGATGGCTGGTAGCACTGGGGAGATGGTTTGAGACATGGCAGCAGACCTGTCTGCACTGAGAGCTGGAGGACCACCTGCCTGCAGGGCAAAACCAAAGGGCAGCAGTTCAGGACTGGAATACTGGCAAGAGCTGTACAGACAGGACTGAGGGAAACCAGAAAAGACGCATCTTGTCAGGGGTAAGATGCATGGCCAGAGTTGTGGAAACGTCTGGGTCTAGGGTGCAATAAGCTCTGTACCTCCGACCACAGCATAATGCAAAATGATGGAGCCAGGAGGAGACCTGTCAGCCATCTGCCTTTGACACGCTTTTTTCAGGCAGCATTTTCATCTTGTACTCCGTAAGCACGTACAAATTACATCACGTACAAGGGTGATATCAGTTCCTATTAATTCTGCCATTCCTTCGGCCTGCACACGTGCCACGGGCTATCTACCTCGAAACCACAGCTGTCCTGCCATTCCCTTGCCTGCGGGAGAAGAAAATGTTCTTAGGTCTGAGTTCTGCAGTAATTGCATCTTCATATACTGGATTCTAAAAAAGAAAATACAGCCCTAAATTTTATTTGCATTTGCAACACCTCTTTGTACTTTTGCGCTGGTGTGAATGATAGTAGAAAAGCCATAGGAGGAACCTTTAAAAGGAAAAGCATGAAAGGTTATTTTTTCCCCTTTTGCTCATATTGCAGTGACTTGTTGGAAGAGAAATATTACCCCAGCAGCCAGCGCCTCTCTCCCCAAGCAATACGGGAACTGTGAAGTTATGAAATTGAGGGCACCTTCACTGAGAAATCGATTAGCAAACTGAGAGAGCTTGTGAATTGGATGTCTGGCCATTTTCAGTAATAAATTGTGAAATAGTCCGTGAATAAGTGGTTCACAGAGTTCAGAATTACCCCCTAGGAAATGTTTGAGACCTGGAGATACATTACTGAAGCGAGTGGCGTCCTAATGTTCAGTGCTTCGGCTGTTAAATATGTATGTAATCCCTACAGCGTTTCCCAAAATTAATAGTGCTTTACGGCTGCTCTGGAGCCTGTGTATTTGTATCAAGAACCACAGCTGATCCACAAACAAAGCACTAATTCCAGAGAAGAAAGCTGAGGAGGAGGCCAGGGAGAGCAGGATTTAACCGAGCTGTGCGTGCCAAGCTAAACTCTATAGGCATGATGTTATCAGTTTTGCTTTACAATTCTGCAAATGAGCTTCACGTGCTCTCTCGTCCCCTCCCTATCCCGCTTTCAGGCCAAGCAGGCACCTCCTGCCTGCCTTCCTGCCCTCCCCGGGGGTGTCAGAGGTCTCCCACGGCAGAGGTAGGGGCTGGCAGATCATACTGGGAGGCAAAAGCCACCAACCTCCGGGCTGGCACAGCCCAGCTCTGGGTGCCGAACCCCCTCCTCAGCAGGCCCACCCAAGGCAGGGCTTCTCCGCTCCACCAAACTGGGCATCTCGGTAGTACTCTAACTGGGACTCCAGACCCTGCAATACCACGGGGACTCCAGCAATGCGGCTCGCTTGCCAGAGCAAAACATGAGCCCTCCCCTCGCTGGCCACGGCAGCCTTGCGGGTGCCTTCAATGCGAGCCATGTAGTAGCTGCTGTTGATATCTCACCCTCCCCTTGCCTTCTAGCTTTTGCCTGCTGTCTACCAACTTTGGCCATTTCCCTCTGTCCTCTGTGTGTTCTCTCTCGGGCTCCCCAGTGTCCCTCATCCTTGGTGACTGCCCAAGCCTGACATTCACCAAAGGGCGGTGCAGTTTGCTGCGTGTTTGCTAACTTCACCTGCCAGCCTCCGCTAAAGAGCCAGGGATCCACAGGGCAACGCTCTAAAGCACTTTACTAGTTATTTTTCACTTGTGCTGGTGCTTGGCACTGCTGTGAACACAGACACCCCCAACCCTTCCCACAGCAGCCATAGCTGGAGGAGACAGCAGAAACTCTCTCTGGGCAGCAGTAGGGCCCTGTATCCCATCAGCTAACATCGGCAAGGAGGAGAAGTGAGCTGAACTGGGGAATGTTTTGGGCTGGCCACCAGCCACACAGAGCTCCCTCGCCCTGTATTTAACCCACCAGCCTCTTGCTCGCCGCAGCTGCAGCCAACGACAGGTACTGCAGTGCGGGTCGGCTGCATTTCTGCTGTGCGGGACTTGAGGTCCCTCCCCCCTTTATTGTTTCTCAACACTCTTCATTTTCAGAGCATGAAATGGTTATTTTTCTCCCTGAAATCCAACCAAATGGAAAACAGTTGGCTGCTCAGAAGAGACAAAATTAAATTTTGTGGGGTAAACAAGGTTGCTAATTAGCTGATGTGCTGTGCAAAGTTGATTTATTCCCAACATGTCACGGTGCCAACCCTGCCTGAAGAGCCTGTGCCTCGTGGCTCAGGTTGACCCACAGGGGTGGCCCTGCCTTTGGTGGGAGCTGGGACTGCAGCTGACCCTTAACAGGGACTTTTTGCCTTCCCGTGTGCAGGAAGAGCCCTTTGTCATGTTCCGTAAGTCTGACACAGCCCTGTTCGGGAATGACCGCTTTGAGGGTTACTGCATCGACCTCCTGAAGGAGCTGGCCATCATCCTGGGCTTCACCTACGAAATCCGGCTGGTGGAGGACGGGAAATACGGGGCACAGGATGAGAAGGGGCAGTGGAACGGCATGATCAAGGAGCTCATCGACCACGTGAGTGAGGTCCATCTGCGGCGCGGGCAGCCAGTGGCTGCCGAAGGGTGGTTGTGCCCCGGCTGTCCCCGAGGCTTTCTGCCTGGGGGGGGACGGGTGACCGCTGCTCGCTGGCTTGGGATACCTGCCGTGAGCTCCTAACCCTGCCTGGGCTCGGTGTTGTGCAGTTTGTCAGAAGAGTATCACTTTGTCTCACTCTTCCAAATATTCATTTGGAGTTTCTGAAAATGGACCTTCTCACAGCACAGAAATGGCCTCCGGGGCCCCAGCCGCAGACCTTCCCTGCTGGGCTGCTGCCCTGCGGTGGGATGCAGGCCGGGCACGCGGAGAGGAGGAAGGAGGCTCCTCCGAGGCCCGGCTGCACGCTGGCTCTCCCCAGCCGGCAGCGCGGCCGCCCGGGCAGGGGCAGCGTGTGCCTGCTCTCATCCCTGAGGACACCACTGCTCTGCCTCTGACAAACATGGGCCAGGGCACAACACCGAGGTGGCTCAGGGACCCAGGCGTTTCCCAGACACAGCTCAGCTGAATTAAGATGATGAATCCAGACTGCAAAAGCAGGTGTGCAGGAGACAGCTTAATACTTTTTTTTTTTTAATAAAAGCAGCTTATTTTCTAAAATCTCCTGGGACACGGAGCTCCCCCTGCAACAGAGCAGCTGTGCTCTTCCTTCTGCGGCCACTTCTAAAAGCCCATTAAACACTCGCGAAACCGTCGCAGCAGCTTTACTCTCACAGCCGCCGAAAAGTCACCTAGTCTGAAACCTCGACTGGAGGCCAGAGGTTGCTCAGTTTCCTAATTAGGTATTTTGCCTCCAGCGCATCCTGTGACCCCAGAAGCCCAGTTAGGGACGTGGGGAAAGCTGATATTTTTATGAGTCTCTGATTCCCAGAAAAGGTCTCTGGAAGAAAAGATCAGGACAAAATTAATCTATGATATCCACAGCAGAGGCAGCAGTACAAGCAGTCCTAGAGCTGTAACACAGCTCTCTCCTCCTGAACATCCTGCTCAAGTGGTGCAGCCCTCGGACCACCTCTCAAGTTCCTGGCTACATTTTGAAAACATTGCCTAAGCAGAAAAGAGACAAAAATAATCCCACGTACACAGCAGCTGTGATGCTCTTACAGTTCATGTGAGAAGAATGTATTTGCTGGGTGAGTCACTTCAGTAAATGAGCTTCGCTGTGAACAGATAACAGAGCATTGTCTGGCGGTGAGACTGCGGCGCTGGGGCTCGGGGAGCTAGGTTGTGTTTCCGGATTTGGCTTGTCTGCCCTAAATGACATTGGACAAGTTGCTTCTGTGCAATACTTCCTCCATCTGTAAAATGCAGATGACAATGATTATGTCCCTTATAGGGACAAAGCGATGCTTAATCAGTTTGCGAAGAGCGCTCTAGTCCTTAGATAGCTCACCCTGGAGAAGTGGGAAGCACGGCAAGGGCATGCAAGGACAGCCCTTGGGGGAGCAGGACGCTGTCTCACAGGGGAATATGCCACAGGCTGTGCAAACCTACCTTTGTATTTTTGCTTCCAGCAAACTCCATACAACTCAAAATACAGATTTTATAGTCTCTTACGCAACAGCTGTGCTAAGTTAGACAAGTGACAGCATCCCAGCGGAAGAGACTGGTGCTTTGCCGCTCCGAGTGATGTGTGTGACACAGATATGAACAGACGCAGAGCACAGGCTACGATCCTCGGCAGTGTGCTCCAGGACACAGCTCCTGCGGTCCCGCACCCGCTGCCGGGAGCAGAGTCTGTGGCTCTCACCACAGAGTATCTGTAGTGCAGGGCTCTGAAGAAGTAAATTGCTCCAAAGCAGGAAATAAGACATAGGGAATAGAAGCCAGACCGTCATTTAGTCCAAACCATGTCACTTCCAATGTCCTGCAAAATGTTACATGGGCTCTCAGGAGGCTTTCAGCCATTCCCAAAGCTGTGGTCAGCTAAAAGAGACAGAAGAAGGTATGGGGAACAACCTCATTAAGTAACATGACATTCATGGTCAACCTGTATTAAAGTATTTCTTGGCTATTTAAAAAACAAATTAACATACAGCAACAGGAAAGGACCAAATCTCCTCTTCTTACAAGTTTCACTGCAGCATCAAGTTTGAACTCTGCTTTCTAACAGGCGTGGCTGGGTGCACGCCTTGGAGTGATTTATAACCATTGCCCAAATCCCATATGAAGCCATTATTTTCTTTATTTGCATGTCATTGCTTTTTATAGCAGTGTTTACGTAAAGCATTAAAAAGTGAAACTGCAACCAGATGGGGCCCTTCCTCAGCAGCAAAGCATCTTCAGATCGTGTGGGGAAAGGAACAACTGATTGGCACTTTGTAATGGGAAAGTTCAAACTTATTTCACACCTAGCAGGAAAAGTGTTGGAGACAGCATTCAAACAAAGTTGTAGTGATGAAAACAGGGCTGCCCACACTCTGGGTTTGATATCTGGGCTGGCTTTCCTCCATATTCAGTGTCTCCTTCTCACAAAAGAATTGGGATCACTCAGGTAGGAGCATAAAGCAGGTAGGATTTTGTGAGGCCCAAACACCCAGGCCAGGATTAACTCCATGAAGACAGTCTGCGCATTGCTGAAGACCCCCTTAACTCATGTGCATCTGAGCCCGAGCCCCCCAGGACTGTTGTGATGCACCAGCTCTGGTGGGCTGAGCTAACATACAGGTTGAACCTCCTGTGCATAGGACAGGGTGCACCTGAGGAGAAATAAGGGGCTAAAATGGTGACTGTTATCACTCGGAACGGCTGAGAGCCCTGGGAGCGGCAGATGTCACGTACCAGGAATAGCCCAATCTGAGGGTGAAATTCGGTGAAAAGGAGATGGGCAAAGCAAGGGGCAGCCCTTCCCTCAGGATGGCCTTCTGCTGGGCTGGGAGGTACAGCCAGGGAGGAGCTGGGTGTAGTGGCAGGCAGGGCAGCCCAGGCAGGTACACAACGGTAGTGTCTCAGGGATGATGGTGCCCGCCACACAAAGGTGTAAATCACAGCGCACGGGATGGAGGACAGGCTGTTTACACAGTGAGCTCTCCTGGCTTGTTTTGGAGTCAGGCATCATCCTCCTTCCCCCGTCCTCTCTGATCCAGACATGCCTGGCCATAGGCAGCAGTGCCTTAGGCTACGATCCTTTGTAAAATTGCTTTGTTTCTAATCTGGCCTTAAGCATAAACAGGAAAAGCAACAGCAGTCAGAGCAGCTCACAGCATGACCCTGTCTTCCAGGTCCCCAGTAGCAGATGCGGTTAGATGCCAAAAGCCCTGCCCCGCTGCCTTTCATCTGCTGCTCATCCTCCATCACAAAAAAAAATCCCTGTTTTGGGGGAGTCCAGTCCATTCCCTGGAGAACTAGACTCTTTCCTCACCACAGTTGGTTGTTTATTGTCAGTGGCCACTCCCACAGAGGAGCCTCAACCAAACCGGGACACAAAAGCTGAACTCACTCACAACACTGGCATTTGAGGAGGTCTGGGGCACCCAGGTGACACAGAGAAACTCCCGTGCCCTGTGTCCGTAATAAATGTGAAACCTGGCAACTGTCAAATCTCCTCCTTTCATCAGCTGTGAGCTGTTATTGATGTTTATTCATATAAATTATTATTGATACAAGCAAAACTACACTGTGCACTGAGGTCCATCCATTCTGCTTTATAAATTCTAGTTGTCTGGCAATATAATGCCCGCAAATCTTCTCTATTGTTTGTGGGCAGAATCACATAAAACCAGCAGAATGAGTTGTTCTGGACATTTTGCACAAACTTGTTCACAATAAAACTTGTCTTCTGCTGAGACAGTGCATATCAAATTTCCAGTCAATCTGAAATGTCATGTGGGAATAAAAAAGATATGAAAAATAATAGGGTTTCTAATGGAAATTCCTGCCAATGGTAACTATAGAGAAGATGTAGCGTCTATCCTTAGGGATGATTTATGACAGCTGATTTAACACTTTCACAATAAATAGGCATTTATTGACAGTAAATTCTGGCAGAAATGCATATTGCACCACATTGCCACATTCCCATTAATGTTCCTGCACTGGTGGATGTTTACTTCAAGCGTCATGAACTGGGGATTCATTTGGAAGCCACTGGGCCAAGAATCGGGGAAAAACAATTTCATTGGCTGAAGCATCCTCCACCTCTTGTCTAGACACTGCAGAACTCAGCATTAGAGACGAGATGGAAATAAGCCAAAACAGCTGGCTGCACTTTCTCCCTTTCTGCTCAGCATCGTTAATTGGGCGGATTCCCATTTACCACATTCAGTGATCCAGGAGATGGAAGCACACGGAAGGGTACGCTGGGAGCCCTGAGTTCTCAGCTTGCCTCTGCAGGTCTCTCTGGACCTGCCTCTCCCTCCCCTGGCTTGCTCACCTGCCAGTGATTCATAGGATAGGGCTTCTCTCTTAAAAAAATGGCTGTTCTCACCAGGATCCGACAGGCTTTGACACCCCTTAGGTACAATTAATGGCAGTTCCCTCTGAAGAATTTCCTTAGAGAAAAGATTACAAGAGGCCCAACACGACTTCATAGTCCTCACTTCTCTCTGGCTTATGGCTATGTTTTCCCTGCCAGCATCTGTTCTTAATTCACCACTGATACTAAATAAATTCATTAACAAAAATGACGTCTGAATTAGGACTGAAGTTGTAAGAGCCGCCATTAAGAGCTCGAGGCAGACACTTAACGCTGACCCCTGCGCACGGCGCTCGGGGTGGCAGGCCGAGGTGTGTCGGGGGTGCTGCTGGGAACGATCTCGCTCTCCTCGAGCATCACTTCTCACGCTGAGTGCTTCCCTGTCCCCAGCCAGCCAGAGGGAAGGGCTGTGGGCACAGGGCTCTCAGCAGGGCTCTCCCACACTTGCTAAAGCCACAGCCCCTCTGTCTCCAAGCCACGGGCTGCAAGAGACCGGGTGCCTCGGCTGTGCCTTGTCCCCCAGTGCTCCGGGATGTCCGCGCCCGAGGATGCCCGGTGCTGGCTCTGCTGCGGGGGAAGACGCAGGAGGCAGGCCAGCACGCAGCAGAGCCGTGGGGTACAGGGTGCGGGAGCACGGCACAGCAGCCGAGCAAGCAAAGCAGGGAGCGGGGCAGAGACGGGACCTGAAGCAGGGCGTTGGGAGCAGAAGAGCAGAACAGCGCTGCAGCCCCAGCGCTGGCAGCGGTGGTGGCAAAAGACTGAGGGATGAAAGTGTCAATGCCGCCAGACAGGCACCTGAATAACAATTAAAGAAGTAAAATATGCACTATTTACCTGTCTCTCAGGCAACACACGCATAATTAGTTTATGTAAATACCCAACTCAGATTGGCAAAATAAGCACAGAGGCAGCTTATTTTCTTGAATAAATATTTATCTTGGTGCTTATGCTGTTTGTGGGCTCTGCTGTGACTGGCCGTCACACACAGCTTTCCTCCGGCGGAGGTCGGATGCTGCAGGATTTCCACAGTGACCATGGTTGTGCAAGAGCTGTTCTGACCCGCAGGCCACATTCCCGTGATAACTGAGAACTTGAAGATAAGACTTAGCATTTTCTGATAAAAGCCAAATATCTCTGCAGAGAATACAGCCCTCCATCCACTGAACACCCAGTAAACTCACATCAGTTCCACCCAAGTGAAGATGCTGTAACACTGGGTGAGTAAGGAGATCCAAATCCTTCGAGGTGTGTTAGAGAAGCGGCTGCATTTGGTGTGTAGCTGCCTTGGCAAAATTCATCTTTTTGGCCTCAATTCAGCAGAACACTTAAGAACATACATAAGACTTGGAAGGCGTGCAAGCTGCAGTAAGAAAGAAACGTGTGCTTAAGTGGCTTTGCTGGTCAAGGGCCTTTAAGCCACTGGCACTTGCTGTAATTCTTCACTTTTAATAAAAGCCATTTTACTGTGCAACAGCATAGAAGTTGGTGCTGAGTGAAGGAAGCAGTCGGGGCCTGATAATTGACTTCCCAGTTTGTAATGTCAGAGCACGACAAATGAAAGCTTCACCCTTGGTGGGTTTTGATTTAGATCCTCTCAGTCAGCAAACCCTTAATTAGAGGCCACCTTCAGAAAAATCTGCATTGATAAAAAGGATATCGAAGTGCAGCCCCATACTGCCTTTAATAGTCCAGGACACCACACCAGACTGGGCTCCCTAATACATGTTCCATTCTGCCTGTGTGTGACATTTACTGCCAAGGACACGGGGCTGTGATCAAATCACAGGAGCTGCTGAAATGACACAGTAAAATTTTATTTCTGCACTAAAAGTGTTTTGATCCTTGGGCATCCATGCAGATTTCTCTCTCTTCATTTTCTGTGGTAAAGCACAAACTCCTAGCTGTTAGCTAGCTTGCTATATCATCTTGACAAATTTGGCTTAGGATCTTTCAGACAGGCAGTTGCCAGTGAGCACTGACCACAGAACTGCTCATTTGTTTCCTCCCTCAGAAAAATTCGTAGCCAAATCCTTCAATCTCTCCTTCGGCTTTCTCTGTTGAGTCAGGACACCCACACAGAAGTGATGGAGGAGCTAAAACGCTGCATTTCTTTTGCCATTTCTGCCTTGTGACCTTGGAGACCAATGAGCCAAAAGTCTCAAGTGTGGTGTAATGTGGGGGGAGCAGCCGAGCTACAAACCCCCCAGGTGTCCTCCACCAGGACCGTACCAAGAACGCAGACTTGGCTCCTGAGATGCAGAACTTCACCATCCCAAGCTGGGCAGCCAACACCGCCGGTCCACTTCTAAAAACCAGTGTCCTTCAGTTTTCATCAGTGTCGCCATAGCCACAGCTGGCACAAAAGGGCTCATTGGGAAAATACTGTTACCATTTTCTCTCTGTTTTGACAAATGCCAGTGATTGAAATGGATGCTTTCTGTACCAAGCTGCTTTAAAAATATATTCCATTTGGGAAGTGAGAAGGAAAGGGAACCAGCCAGGGCTCACCTGAAGAATCACATTAACAAAAAAAATACATCATTTTTACCGTTGTTACAGAATTCCTGAAACCCTTCTGTTCAGGACCTCTAAAGCTACATCCTTTGGAGAGGAGACCCCTTTCCCCCCCACACACACGTACGTAATGGGCAAAAGCTCATGAAGAAGCTATTCTTCTAGAAAAAGGCCCAGATTCCTGTATTTAAAAATATTTCACTGACTTTTGTCACAGATTTGCAAGGTCAAACAAGATCATTAGTCTGACCTTCCTCCACAACTCAGGTCAGAGATCTTCACCAATTTCTACAGTGAACCCATAGCTTCTGTTGGAGTAAAGCATGCTCTAGCAAGACAGCTAATATTGATTTAAAGTTTGCAAGTAATGACAAATCCACTATATCTCTAGGTAATTATCACTCATGGTTAATTGAGAATTTTAATTTTCAGAACCAGATGTTAAATAAATCTTGCAGGCACCTGGCATGGGGGGAGGTACTGCTTAACTTCAGAAATGTAATTGATGTGCCTGCATCTCCTCTGAAGTCAATGATACCAAAAGAGTGATTTACAAACCCCAAGCAAGGCAGCTGACATTGAGGTAGCCTTGGATGTATTTACTTAAGGTGTTTTTAAGAACCTGGATCAATGTTTAGTGAGAAGAATGAACACAGCTCTTAACCACAGAAAGAGGTTGTATGTGGGCGCTCACTCCATCTAGCACAGAAATTCTTAAATAACAGAAATAATAGAAGGAAACACAACTCATACAAGAAGTCAGGATGAAAAACATGCTCAGCTGAAATTCCTCCTGCAGCTCAGGCAGTTCCAGCACCACAAGCTGTGAAGTCCACCATTAATTAGCAGAAGCATTTCCTCAGTGGGGCTTGCAGCCACACGCACGGGAGAAAGACGTAAGGGGAATCGTGTGAGGTTTTGCTCACCCCCGCCAGCCGGGCAGGCTTGCGAGCATTCCCAAACAGCGGCACTCCTACCCTACACGCCACGGCTTCCTTAGAATGAGCCTTTCAAGTTGGATCATGAAATCGACTGAGGAGAAAGAAATTGAACCTTTTACCTCATGCTGCTGCAATATTACTTCCTGCAACTTCATTCTGGAGTGGCCTCCCTCTGCGACTTTCTCCTCTTGCAGCAACATTAAAAGGAAGGCCAACAAAAACAAATCATCTCTGCAAATGGGGGGATTTGCACACAGCAAACTCTCTGTTGTAAAGAGTTCTGCAGCAAGAAGCAAGCACAGCGAGGATCGCAGACATTCCTTTCTGCTCTAAAATAGAATTTTTCTGACCATTTTAGAAAAAGCCTGTCAAAATGAGCTCATTGCATCTGGGCAAAAGATTGCAGAGACGGTACAGCTCTCTGTTGTCTGCGCTGTATTTCACTAGCTAACATCAGCGGAAAACCTACACGATGACAGCCACAGCGCATAATTAGCAAACAACAGACCACGTTTTGCGTGTTTTGGAGACCCTGCTCTGTGTTGGGGTTTTGTTTAGGTGATGAGAAGTCTTTGTAATAACTGGACCGTGTTATATCAGTTCCATATTCCACCTGTCCTGTCTCAAGTGTTCTTGTGCCTAATGCACAGAGATCAGTCCCCGGTCCCTTACCTGGGGGGCTCTGGGGAAAAGCTAGGGCGCTGAGTGCTGCCCAGACAGCGTTCGTGTGCAGCCCAGGGCAGCTCTGATGACGGCCTCGCGTTTGCCTGTACAGCGAGGTGGCAGGTCTGAAGGGAAGCAGCTACACAGAGTCCAGTGGCAGGCACAGAGGGCCCTGCCTGCACTGGGAAGGGGGCAGGACGTCCAGCCTAGCTCTGGCAGAGGCACGGGGCAGATGTACCCCATGTGCAAAGGGAGCGGGGAACACCAGAGCTGTGCTTTGGGGGTGTTTTGGCCCACTGCTGCGGTGTGATTGCTGTGGGTGTCTCTAAGGGGATGGAAGCACCTCGTTTCTAATGCCTTCTTTCTCTCTCCCTCTGTGCCTCCCTCCCTCTGCGCTGCACGCAGAAAGCTGATCTGGCTGTTGCTCCTCTCACCATCACCCACGTCCGGGAGAAAGCGATAGACTTCTCCAAGCCCTTCATGACCCTGGGGGTCAGCATCCTGTACCGGAAGCCCAACGGGACCAACCCCAGCGTGTTCTCCTTCCTCAACCCCCTGTCTCCTGACATTTGGATGTACATCCTCCTCGCCTACCTGGGGGTCAGCTGCGTGCTGTTCGTCATCGCCAGGTAAGGGGACGCTGGTGCCACCCCACCCCACTGCCACATCACACCGCATCTGCTGCCGTGTGACAAGACGCCCTTCCCCGCTGCTGCTCAGATCCGTTTTGCTGCCTGGTGTGTCGCAGGGATCCAACCAGCCGGTGGGAGCCGCAGCATTAAACCCGTGTCATTAATGAAATTACTTCTGGTCCATTGCCCAAAGGCAGGCTGGTCTCTTGGTGTGGGGTTGCTCACAGCTCCTGTCCCCTGCTCTCTTTTGGACCTGTACCTCAGAGTGGTTGTAAAGGCGATGCAAACCCCATAGTGAAAATCAAAGATGAGTTATCCACATGGGAAATTTGTCTCCTTCTTCGCTAGCTAGAGCCTGAGTTATGTCCTTTGTATTGCTTTGCCATACCAAATGTGCTTGTGTGTCTTTGCTTCATTAACACGAACGTATAAGACTCTTCTGCTGCATCAGTGCGGGCAGTTCCACAGATTTAGTAGACTTCCAGTACAAAAGAATTTTAAAATGCACTTTCTTTTATGATTTTAGAAATTTTGTTGCCTTCCATTAGCACCTCCTTGGTATAATGAAGGGCAATTTTCCTGCTCTGTATTAGTCACCATTCATGCTCCTGTTGGGCCACTTCTCACCCACCTTCTCCAAGAAGGAGCCCAGCCTCTCCCCTGTGTCCTGGACACAAAGCTCCTGTGTCCCACACCATTTTCAGCTCTTCCTGCCTCTGAACCCTCCACCAGCAAAGCTCCCACAAACCCTTCCTTACATCAGAAGAATAGAGAACCCGTTGCTACAGATCAGACAATCTGTCTGTTGACAAAATTAATATGCATCTAATTAGCATGTTTAAAACATCTATATTTAAAAGCAGCAGTATTTGCATATATTTGCATGTGTTATTAATTTCACAGAGTCTTTGATGAGACGCATAGTCCAGGGCCGCTCTCAATACATGATTCCACCTTCTCAAACCAAAACAAAGCACTTGCCTCCCTCCTGCCAGGCAGGTGCCCTCCCTGGCCACGCACAGCCCTCGCTGCCTGAACACCATGCCCTGGGAAGTTTCCTAAGCCCAGTCTGCACTTAGCACTCGTTTGTCATTTCTTCCAGTTCAAGTTCTGCCAATGATGCCTTCAGAAACCTCCCTGCTGACCCCACAACCTTGGACTGGGGCTCTGTGCAGACCCCCTTTCCCCAAGGGCTGCTGTGCTGTGCTTTCCTCAGAGCACCCTTCAGAAACCAGCTTCTATCTAATCCACTGACATCAATCAGACAAAGTAAAGATTAAATACGAAACTGCAGTAACCAGAATCCATTAACCCTCATGTTACAACAAATCTGCAATTTTCAACATCCCTCAGGTCCACGGAGGCATTTAGAGATGATTTCCTGAATTTACTATGTGATATCCTAATTACACATAACAGCAGTTGTCAAAGTAAACTCAGCTTAGCAGACAGCATTAGTGTTCCAAACCATCTGGGACGGCAAAGCAGCTACATCGTCTGATCCTCCCTCTGCAGAGGTGCAGAGCTGGAGAGGTTGCACTTCACCTTTAGAGGACACAGAAGGCCCTCCACGTTCAAGATTTTAACCACAACTGTTCTCCTCTCTAGTCTTTGCAATGGACCTCTATCAAATGGCCATACACTGGATTTCCAGGCACTTCCCTGAGGTCCCACAGAACTGTCTGAGCACGGACGGCTTTACACGCTGTGTTTGCACAGTGCCCGCTGGGAGCACAGCCCTCTTGTAGCATTGCAGTACAAACAGCAGCTCATAAAAACAACCCAACAGTTCATTTCAGCAAGAAGGTGGTGGAACGTGCAGAAATGGCAGCACTTGATACTACTGTACGATTTTATAAGAGGACAAGAGCCACACTGCCAGTAACACGTCGCTCCACCTCCCTGCAGACCCCGGCCGGAGGCAGGCAGCAGCCAGGGCCACACAAAATGAAGGACTGTTTGGCAAAGCAGTGCTGCCAGCTTTGTCCTGCCCCAGCAGAAGCCCCTGGGGAGACTGGCAGGGGCTCTGGTGGGGCAGGACGAGTCCTCGGCAGTTTTGCTTTGTG